TTGTTGTACACCACAATGGATTCAGTGGCTGAAATCCTGTTGCTTAGATTTGTAAGTCACTATCAAGTAGGCAAATTTGAGTCAGTGGAATTTATGGAGGAGTTGACTCACCAATGGACCTACTTTAGTTTAGCTTAATACACTGAGCAACAGGATTTCAGCCTGTACATATAGGAACATATAGAATTCCTCTTTTAATTGTAGTTTTAGGCAAGAGGTCTCAGTATCTGTAGCTATAAGCATCCATCTGGCAGAGCACACAGAACTTGAACATATTATAGTGGGTGCATCCTTCACCTAACATTAGCTAATAAAAACAGACAGAAAAGAGAGTAAGTGTGAGTTTCATAATTATCATGTGATATTCAGGGAAGCTGAGGCCTCCAAGAAAGGTTAATTAGAACCTTTTTTTTTTCTTTACCTTCTAGCGTAAAAGAGAACCTGGTGTGGTGTGATAGAAAAAGGGTCATATCCTTTGTGGTGTACCACATTCAATTAACATGACAAGCTTTGTGATCCTGTCAGTTTTCGCTGAGGGTGGGACCAGCATTTGCTTCCCCCCTCCTCTCTTATCCCCCCAAATTTTCACTGACTATCGCACTAAGAAAGAATTATGGATTTCCGTCTGAGAGAACTGCATGGACTGATAAAGTAAAATCTATGGGAGAAAACAACTTGGGTCCCCCCCCCTACCCTTTAGGCCATAATTTCAGTTACAAAAGAAGGTGTAATAAATTTTGGCGGGAGAAAAAATAACCATTTTGGACATTTGTAAAGACTAGCCTGTATAAACAGTATTGAGAAATGGGGGCGAGAACAATTTAAGCAAGTGAAGGATTATTTTTCTTGTGACAAAACCTAAGTATTTGTCAAGTCAAGTTTTTGAAATTGTGTGCAGCTTACTAAAAGGAGGAAACATGCAAATGCAGGCATGCACACACACAATCTGCGCGCACACACACATGTTTTTTGATAAATCTTCAAGCCTCTCATATTTAAACCATATATATATTTATTTTAATTAGTTGTTAATAACATTTCAGTCCTGATTATGCTAACTGAAGTGAATGGGACTTGCTTATGTTAATCAGGTTGATTTCAATGGGTCCAGTCAAATTGAGGCTAGGATTTGATTTAGACAAATAATGACAAAATATTCACTATAGACTGACATTATCTATTCCAATTAAATTTTTGTCATGAAATGTCATCAGAGTTAGATTGTTCAAAAACAATTTAGGTTCTGGAACTAAGGTTTTCAGGCTCAGGCAGCAGAATGAGGTGGTACACTCATGACATGGCAGAGTGGAATGGAAAATTTTGAGGAACCTTTGACCTTGTATCTTGAATAAAGGTTCTTTAGTAACTGTAGTGGAATATTTCAGTTTCAGGATAAAAGATCAGTGTGCCACCAACAGTCACTATGCCCACTTATGTCTATTTGTATGATTAGAAATAATTTTCACTGGCTACTTCCAGGCTACGGAACTCCTTTGTACAGGACATCAGGCTGACACCCTCTCTTTGTGTTTTTCCACTGGCATGTAAAGACCATACTTTTCAGGCAGGCTTTTCCTTTGTAAAACACTGGGGAAGAAGTGGTTTTTAAGTGGAGAATTGTTATTTTATCTTTCTAAAATGGGTTTTAACATGTTTTAGCAGGATTTTAGATCATGCTTTTAATAGTTAATATGTTTAATCTATCTATCTATCTATCTATCTATCTATCTATCTATCTATCTATCTATCTATCTATCTATCTATCTATCTATCTATCTATCTATCTATCTATCTATGATTTATTTATTTATTTATTTATTTATTTATTTATTTATTTAACTTGCATACTGTGCTGAGTAGTGATAAACACTGCTCTGAGTGGTTCACATCCAGAGTGAGATAGACACGAAATAAAACAAATCAAAATGTACTAACAGAAACCCGACATATAATCAGTCAAAACTGTCAAATAAATCAATAAAACCCAAATGATGGCAAATAGGCGATCAAGGATAATCAATCATACCACGTTAAAAGAGGATGTTAATGATTGGTTTTTTATATTTGTGTTTTTATACCCTTTGTAATCCTTCTTGAGTCCCTCTACAAGGAGAAAGGTGTGGTGCAAATTAAACAAGCACACAAATTATAAACAGCTAACTCTCACAGACAAGCGCTTGCTGTGCAAATTCCATGATGCTCCTTTGAAAGATCATTTCGCTCCCAACTTGGCCACCATTCAGTTTAAACTGTTCCTATTTGCTGTGATTGAAGCTTAATTCTGCAGCTGTCAGGGAATCACTTGTTATTCATATCCAGAGGAGAAAGTACCAACAGAAGCCACTGAGGAAAATTAGGTGGTGAAGCACACATCCAGAACAAGCACTTATGAGACAGAAGAGGAGAGAATCTAGAAGTTTGTGGTGTGCATTGCTAGATGGGAAAATGTGGGCAAATGAAATGAACAAAAGAAAGTATCTTCAGGCACATTGTAATAATACAATCCGCTAACACTGACATCAACTGGTACTACCCATCTGTGCAACTACTGTTGCACAGGACCAATTTTCAGAGTTAATCATGCCGAAGGATTTTATCATCCAGAATCCTGTTAACGATATACATGTGTATAAGTTAAATTGGGTAACTCATCATAGGAAATTGCTCTTAGCTAACAAAGTGAATTATACAATCAAACACATCTCTTGTAATGGGGCTGGTGCCTTTTCAGTTAGCAGCGATTTGCCATGGTGAATTCCACAATTTAATGTATGCATACGTGAATCACTAATAGGATTCTGAGGACTGTTTTCTAGGAGGCATTACTACCCATTCTGAGGACTGTTTTCTAGGAGGCATTCCTTGTACTGTATTGGGATATATATATCACTTGGTTTAACAAAAATACAAAGGCAATGCAATACTCAGAACTTAGAAACACTGCTTTCTTGGACTTCAGCACTCAGAATTCTCTAGCCAACAAGAACAATGGGCAACTTTGGAAGTTATAGTCTAAAATAAAATAAAATAAAATAAAATAAAATAATAAAAGTTCTCAGTATTATGCTGCATTTTGTTGAAAAATATATCTCACTTTATGGCAGTGGATAATTAAGGCCCTGATTAATACTGCTGCTAAATCCATTTAAGCACATATCTTCATTTATGGCCCTCTTACAGTCAATGTTCAAGAACATGCCGGCTGTGTGCACCACACCACATAGAACACTTCAAAGTTCACATTTTATTGTATTTCAAATGAATAAAATTTCCTCAATAATGCCTTCCTGTCCTGTAGACAAAGGGTCTAATAAACATTTGGATGAGCAGAAGAAGAAAAAGAAAACAAGTCAATCCAAGTACATTCAGGAAGACCTTCATTAGTTTACTAATATTGCTTCCTTTGCTTGTTTGCAGCCCAAAGGAAATGTCAGGAATGATTGAGTACTTTCTTACTGCACATTCATTGTTGTTACTAAAAGGATGTTCCCTCCTAAAAGACATGTGAGTCATGCAACTCCTATTGATTCGCTTCAGCTAACCTATCTTCTGTTGCCTGTAAAATGTGACTTAAACCCCTTATAGTTGTACTATAAAATAAAGCTTTTATAGCATTCTTTTCTGGTATGTTCACCCCTGTTTCCAGTCCACAAGGGACAGAAACAACAGTTTGCAGCCCCTCCACATACTTTAGCACAGCTTCTTCATACAAATAAGTTGTGATGACTCATTTTGCCACTCCTGAGGCAGCAGGATAGAAGAATTTGGAATTTCTCCCTCCCCCTCCTCTCCTGCCCCTCCCCTCCTGACCAATGCCAGATTAAAATTAATAAGAACTCACTTCATAATGTTGGATTTATCATAAGATACATCAGCACAGACTTCTACCAGAGCTTTGAAGTTTGAATACTTTTCCAGAAGAAAGAGTAAAATTCATATCATGAATTAGTGCGAAAGGACAAAGTTTCTTGACCCACTTACACAAGTTGACTTGTTTATTATTACATTTTTTAATCAACAAAAATGCTTTGTGAGGATGGCAAACGTAGAGCCGAACTTTAGGCAGTATTTGAATAAGTCAAAGTCCTACAGATTACTTTGTTGTACCCCATGTCTCGGCTGTTTCATTTTCTCAAATGTGTTGGTAACACATTACCTGTATTTTTCGCTCCATAAGACGCACCTTTCCATAAGACGCACCAATTTTTTAGGAGAAGAAAACTGGAAAATATAATCTGTTTTCTTCGCTCCATAAGACACACAGACTTTCCACCCCCCTGTTTTGTGGGGAAAAACTGTGTCTTATGGTGCAAAAAATACGGTACTTCTAATTGCAAAAGACAATACAGTATGCTTGCAGAGCAAGCAACAAGTTATGCATCCAGTTTGCTCCATTCTCTCCACCTTGTGGCTTACCAGTTTCTCAAATGTTCCTTTAAACAAAATTGTCCCAAGGAATGGTTTTGCCAGCTGGAGAGAAAGCATGCATGTTCCCTACTTCCAGCACTAATATTCCAGCTCTAGACTTCTTCCAGTCTCCAGAGTAATGCATAAACAGGGTAACAGCATGTTTTGTTAGCTTGATGCTCAAGTTGGCTTTTTACTCTGTCAAGTCTTATGATGCATGCAAGCATGTGCTCTTGGCTATTTAAATGAGTCCAGTACCAAAGCACTGAGGCTGCCCATACAGCTAAACACTCCTTTGGTGGTTTGTGCCTCTGCTGTTGCATGCAATTTATGTGATTTATAACAGCCATGTCTACAAAGCGGAACATTGATGATTATGAGTTGGTGACTTGAACAACTGAAATAAACACTCTGTCGAATGGTCCAGTAGAAGCAAGCTGGTAATCTATTCATGCTTCAGATTTTGTTAGAACATGACTAAATAATCATGGAAAAACATATGCTGCTAAGAGCTAACTGAAAAAGTGCAAACATGCATTTTCCTAGACAGGGATGAGTCAAAAGTATATTTAAAAGCTTTAAGTGGCACTTACCTCGCATGAAGCACTGCTGGTAAGAAGGAAATGAGTCAAAAATGCTGTTTGAAGCCATGGTTTCCTCTTTAAAAATGTATTCTCTCTTTGAAAATGAGATGATATATGTTTTCTTTCACCTTGGGAAGCAAAAAATAAAGAGTGGTCATTGTCCCAGATCTCTGTGCTGCCATTGCACTTTGCATATTTGTGTCTGCAGAGCAAAATAAATTCAATAATAATGTTCTTTTTCTCACAGACAAAGAGTGGAACTGTTTTGTTAAAAAGAGAGAGAGAGAAAGAGAAATAGCGGATCACTTGTGGTTTCATGATGCTTACCACTCTACGAAACTCTTGTGGTTTGCAGTCAAAATGATTCGCCCTGCCTACTGACCAATATCCCGGACCCACTCTTGTGTGACTGCCACTGTACCCAACTTGTGGTTCTGTGGTTGTTTATGAGGCCCAAAGAAGTGTTTCACACAACCAATATTACAAATTTAACTGTTCCCCTTTCCACTGCTTATTCCAATTGGTTCTTGGCAATCACATGATTTCAGTGATGTCGACTAAAAAAAAAAAACCACACACAAAACATTCTGAGCAATGTGCTTCCCCCACCACCTGCCCTCTTTTAGATTCAGCAAAGAAAGAATTATGTTGGGAGGCAGAAAGAGACCAAGCCTGACTCACCAGCCCTTGTTCTACAAATGGTCTCTGCTGATTAAGGATAACTCTGCCTTGTTGTTGCTTGTGGTTTCTGGGACTCCTGATTATTTTCATAGACATTTCATTAGTACTTATTCAATAGTAATTTAAACCCTGGCATTAGGCTGTTGCTGAAAGAGGATGGATAGGGCATCGTCTAACTTAGGAGTCACTTTTCAAAAAGTTCAGCAGGTGGAGAACAGCAATCTTCTTTCTTAAAGGCAGTTCAGAATCAAAAAAGGATAAGATGCATTGATTCAACTGTACCTTTTTAAAATGAGTCTGAAGGCATAGATGGACCAAATAATAAATGAAGCAAAGATTAGCAAAGTCTTTAAAGTTTTTTTTTTGGGGGGGGGAGGGAAGGATTACTGTGATCATCTGATTGAAGCTCTTTGAACATTAAAGTGTTTTTGAGTGGTTATTGTTTTTATATTATTATTATTTCTTGCTGTGCTTCTTTCTGGGACATAACTTTTTGTGTGTATTAAGCCTCCCCCAGTTGGGCTTATTTTTCTTATTTTGAAGTTAACAGGAATAAGGTACAGATTGAAGAACCTGATATTTTAAATGCATCTTTCTTTCATGTAATGTAAAAAAAATGCTATGTGGTTTGAGTACCAATTATAAACTTTAAAGAAAGGCACCACTTAACTTAGGAACAAAGAAATGATTGTTGTGTCAGCTTTTAATTCCTTTAGTCACCTCTCTGCATGCTGAGCAGCACTTTTTCACTAATTTAATTCACAGGATTTTCCTCACATCTGCAGTGAGATACTTAGTGTCTCACTCACGAGGTGTTCAGTCAACCTTTGCCAAACACTCCGTATTGCAGCAGAACCTGTTCAAATAGAGGGGGATCCTGTGGAGCATGTAGCACTTTCAGTCTTGCATTAGAATGTCCAGTTTCCAGTCAATTGAGTTTCAATATGGGCAAGGATGACCAAAAGCATATGTGGTAAATCATAAGATGAAAAACTAAAGAAAGCTGGTGCAATGTAGTATCCTAGGATGACGTACTGGGGTTTGGGAGATCCCCATTAAAAACCATGAAAAATGTTGAGTGATCTTGACCAGTCTACCAGTGTTGTGTGTCTAGATGTGGTCTTGGGCTCACTTCTTAACAAGGATGAAGAATTATATACTATGGTACCACCCATTCAACTACCTGAGCTGGCTAAGGTCTCCTAAGTTCATTACCTTAGGAGATGTCAGCATTTTACGTTGCAATTCACACTACATGAGGTGTTCAGTTTGCATTTGGAAGCTGGTTTTTAACAGCATGTACAGCAGTGTAGTTTCCTCAGATACATGCCCAAGCAGTTAGATTTGCAAAAGAATATCATATCTATACCAATAATGGTCAATCACTAAAGAAATCAAGCAAATTTGCAAGATACTAGAGGCAAGATGAGTTTGTGCTATAGCAAATGGAGGTGTTTCAGGATTTTAGGAAGTCTTGTTTTTAACAGCATGTTAACTATACCGTACAGTTGGACCATAACACATCTCTGTGTTCAGAATTTCATGCCCTCCATGATGACCATGGGTTGGTCTCAGGTTATATGTGGCTTAACACATAGAACAGGAGGGCATATTTTTGATCATATTTTCTGTTCTGAGAAGGTACAAGTAGTCTGTGGGAAGCAGAGAAGGCCTGATATGTTTCTTTTTTATAGATAGATCAATATCTGATTAAGTCTATGGTGGTCTCAGAAGCTAGCAGCACTGGAGTCCTATTGTAATGGTCCAGCTGAGAGACTTAAAGAGCTCATGATGTCTCTTGGGGATTTTCTTGCTGACATCTTATCTGGGTCAATCAATGCTCTTGATAGATTACTAGTTAACCAAAACTACAGGACAGCCTTTTTCCAGCCTATTTCCTTGTAGATATAGTAAAGAGGTAGAATGACAATTTGGGTGACAGTCTGGAGATCTTAATCTTATTATCTTGTTCCTTAAACTGCTAAAACTGATTTAGGTTTCTGTCTATGGTGCAGATCTATAGCCAAAGTGAGGCCAGTAAACATACCATCCCTTGGGATATCCCACTTTCATTTACCCACCCAAGACATTTTTGGAGAAGAAAATATTGAGTTAAAAAATAATGGCTGTTTCACTTTAAGAATGAAGGATTGATTATTTGTTAAATAGGGGAAGTTCTAATTACAACTAGGCTGGGATATAACTATAAAAAGACTACAGGAGCTTTGCCCTAAGATGCCAAATTTAGAGGACGTGCCTCTTTGTCAAGTGACTGGCTTGGTCTACCTCAACAGGCAAAGAGAAGGTAGACCAGGCCTTCAAGGCAGATTTTTGGTTGGCCACCCTAAGCATAGAAGACAGATAAGTGATAAACTAGGCCTCACTGAGACTCAGACTGAAGGTGGAGGTGGTAGCCACATGTAGACAAGGCTCCCCTAGAAAATGGTAGGTCTACTTGCAGCTCAGTAGATTTCTGGACAGAAAGAAGCAGGTGGGGATGTCACCATCACAAACAGCTGGGTAGACCAGGCTTCCTCCATCAGAGGATTTGTTTACCCAAGGCTCAGTAGACCAGACTGGACAAGACAAAACCAGCTAATTAATATGTGGTATGCTAAGCAATGAGATACCTTGTGTGATGCAATGGATAGAGCCATGGACTGGGACCCTGGAGGTGTGAGTTCAAATCTCTGCTCAGCCATGGAAACTCACTAGGGGTATGGAACTGGTAAAGGTAAAGGTTCCCCTTGACATTTAGTCTAGTTGTCCAATGCTAGGGAGCAGTGCTCATCCCTGTTTCCAAGCGATAGAGCCAGCGTTTGTCCGAAGACACTTTCCGTGGTCACGTGGCCAGTGTGACTAGACACAGAACACTGTTACTGTACCACCTATGTGGTACCTATTTATCTACTTGCATTTTTATATGCTTTTGAACTGCTAGGTTGGCAGCAGCTGGGACAAATGACAGGAGCTCACTCCGTCGTGTGGATTCGATCTTACAACTGCTGGTCTTCTGACCTTGCAGCACAGAGGCTTCTGCAGTTTAACCCACAGTGCTACTACATCCCTGGAACTGGTAAAACCACTCCTTAAATATCTCACTTGCCTTGAAAGCCCTATTAGGGTCATTGTAAGTTGATTCCAATTTGATGGCACATAACAACAACATAGACAGCCTAGCACAAGGGTAATCCAGAAATGCAGATAGTTGAGTCAATCCATATAAAGAGATGAGTCATAGCAGTGTTTGTTTTTACCAGTAGTAGCTAGTTCAATTCTCCATGGTGGCTCCTGCAAGTAGACCCAACCTGCATGGCTTTTGGCAAGCGGCACAGTTCCAGGGTGCCCCCAGAAGAAGGGAATGGTCCACCACTTTTGAGTAGTCTCTACCTAGGACACCCTGGAAAGAGTTGCCATTAAGTCAGAATTGAATTATTAACAGCAAGCATGTAGTGAATATGGCCCCCTTTTTCATGTCCATAGTTGACAAGAGACGTTCCTGATTTAAATTAACATTTAGGCTGTCCAATTAATTCTAGTCCCAACCCCACATCCTCTGAACTAAATTTATAGATGTTAATGCAATTTGTTTTAAGGAAGCATTTTTGGGATTGCAGAACTGTAGTCGGAAAGTCCCTTATTATCTCACTGCAATCTCAGATAAGCTTAGCTCATTGACACTCCCCATTCTGATTCAGCAGAGGCAGGAAGAACAGCTGGCACCAGTGCTCTGGCCAGAGGAACCTGCTTAATATCACAGAAGCAGTTCATATCTTCCTGAAAGCCATGGGCATATCCAGTGAAACAGAGTGCTTCCTCCATGACCCATGCCATGGTTGTTCATGACATGGCAATTTCCACATAGGGTGATTGTAACAAAGTCTTAACACTGAAAAGAATGGGTAACTGAATTTAAACTTGTAATGATTAATTTCACCCACTAATATCAAAGAATCCACACCACAAGTGAATGAATTTAGATCTAAAGCCTTGATTCCACACAATAATGTCAAAAGCTGACTATGCAGAACATATATCTTCACTATCATATTTCTTTTCATAAATCAATTAATTAGTTTGCTTTAGGAATTTCTGAGACAAATTTAAGGTGGTGGTTTTCTTTTGTATAAGAAGTGGGGGTATGAATATTTAAAATAATAAATAGATAGAATATAGAGAGATCTAGCCTGGCTATGTGGCTTGTTGTGAGATTAGGCAATTTATTGGACTTCTCTATATCACCACAAATATTTCTGGTTTTGCAGTTATGTGCATAATAAACTCAGATGGATAGTGGTCAAAGAAAATTATGGATGTTGGCAAGTTCTTCCAATACAAACTGAAACAAAATGCATTTATGCCTGTCAGACTTGATTTGGTATGGCTTCACCCAGCATGGAGAGGACAGTGTTGCATCAGTGGGCCATAGTAGTGTTGAAGATGAGGAACTTTTCAGATGAAAGAAGTGGCAACTCTAATTCAGGACTGATACGGTTGAATAAACAGGGATTCACTTGAGATTGGACAAAAAATAGTGATGGTAGGTTGAAATTACTATGACATTTGTAACCCACATACTGCAAAGTT